AATTAAAACAGAACAACTACTTAACTGTTTAGGTAAAAGAAATGTTACAGGTTATCAAGAGATCTAGAACCTAAACACTTTTATCCATCTTACTTTTTAAGCCAATTTTATGGGATATAAGTTACAAGAAATAACAAGTCACATATCAAGTGTAACATAAAGTGTTTTGACAAATATATCAAACTGACCATTTATTTATTTATATATATAGATCGCGTTTCCTTGTGACACACTTAGTCAATGCCTTTCTTCCACCTCTAACTCCTGGCAACCAGCAATCTGATTTTTGTCGCCATAGATTAGATTTGTATTTTTCCTAGAATTTCATGTCTATGAAAAGATATAGTAAGCACTCTTCTATGTCTAACTTCTTTCTTTCCAAATCATGCTTTAAAAATTGATTCATATTGATGGATTACTCAGTAGTTTATTTTTGTTGCTGAGTGTTATTTAATTTTATGAATATACCAGTTTCTTTATTCATTATGTACTTTTTCTTCTTCCATCTCCAATCTGCTCTCGAGCCCATCCAATGAATTTTTCAGTTACCATGCTCTTTAGTTCCAAGATTTCCATTTGTTTCTTTTTTATGGTTTTCCTTTCTCTGCTGAGTTTTTCCTTTTGTTCACTTATTAAGAACATATTTTTCTTCAACTTTTGGAATATATTTTATTTTATTTCATATGTATAATATATGTATTTTGAATATATTTATATTTATTTCATAACTCAAATAAAACATATTTATTAAAGTTGCTTTAAAATATTTGACTGTTCAATTTGAGACCTTGAGCCATCTTAGAGTTGGTTTTCATTTGTTTTTTGTTGAGTATGAGTCATATTTTCCTATTAATTTTTGACTGTGTAGTGAAGATCAAAGACCGTGGTTCCATTTGTGTATTTTAACTTTTCTAGTAAAGAAGCAGCAGTGTTTTCATCTTTGTCATCCTAAATTCTTATAAATAAATTAATCAGTCCAAACTTGTTGAGCACTTACTACAGTGTTGTGCTGGGTTTGATGTTGGGGAACGATTGAGGAAGGATCTTGACCATTGCGTACTTGGGTGAACTGGTAAGACAAAGTTTCTTGTTGATAACTCAGGGTACCCTAGGCAAAGCTGAAAATCCACCAGAATAAAGCACAGTGAGAAGTGAAGAGGAGGTCAGTTTAAAAGTAGAAGTGGTTTCCATGACATTCCCCAAAATAGATACTTAAATGTTCAGGAAAAAATATTTCTAGTGACCTCTCCAGGTAAGTGACAACATTAGCGCCATATTAGTATCAATCCTGATGCTTCACAAGGAACCAGACAAAACACTTACTTTGCTTTTTCACTATCTTTCTAATGAGAAGCTGAGGACAGCTAGTAGAAGGAGGAGAGGCTACTTTTCTTTCTCAGACAGGAATACACACACAAAAGTTCACATATGTCGCTAAGTCACATAGTCATTTGTTCTGGTTGTGAAATTGAAACTTATGTGATTCTCTTATTAATTTAAGTTACTTACTATGCAATTACTTAATAACCTATGCAGCAATTATATAAATGTCAAAAAAAGAATGTTAAAATAGATATGATCTTAAGAGCATGGCCCACTTTTTGCATTATATGTTGACACAAATGAGTTTCACTCAGGTTTCTCTTTTTTCACGGATGAGCCTTCTGGTAAGTGCTGCCTAGGAGCCCTGTGCTAGGAGAGCATCTGTGGCCTGGTTTCATGTTTGAGTACAATCCTGGGGAGCCTGACTATCAGTGTGTCAGAGTGACTGTGACGGGACACTGTGATGAACAGGGAGTTTGCTGCTTTTCTTCTTTATATGTTGCAGTTATTTTGCGGTGACAGTTCTCTGCTCCATCTTTCCTTAAATTCATCAGGAAGATAGGATCTTCACCATGCTCCTTCCAGAACCAGTGTAAGGAATATAACGTTTTCTAGAAATTGGAGTTAATAGTAATATCTTCCTCTTCTCAGAGCATCAAGGACTGAGGACTCTGCTCCACTTCTTAAATTTTAATGCCTGATCAGAAAGATAATTGGAAGACACAGGAAACCCTCATGAGATGCTCAATTTTATCAAAGGAAGCATGATTTTCTCCACTCCTTCCTTACTCAAAATATAAATATCACTCATAATTACAGAACAGTTCCCACACTTCTTAAGTCTGATTCTCAAAAGGGCTCTTCCCAGGACAGAAAGATGACCTAGTTCCTGCCCTCGGGTGCTGTCATCATTCTAAGCCTCTCCTAGACTGATCTGTGTACTCACAGGCCAAGTGCCACAACAGAGGGCCTGAAAGCACTTTCAGGAGAGTCTCCATTCCTTGGTTCCCCAGGAAATCCAATGGACCAGGCCAGCTCCTGAATGGGCTTCCTAAGCGGGAGTTACTCTGAGCTCAGAGTGAGGCCTGTTGTAGTTGTTTCCAGAATACTGCAACTTTGGGGGACAACCAATCAGGGAGACATCACAACATGTTCACTGTTTACACAGAATTATATACATCTGTCTAGAATACTTTTAAAATAGTGCTCCCCTGTGGCCAGGCTGAAAAATGTTGATTAAAATGTGGATTTTAGCTTTTCTTGAATAAGTGCACATCCAAAACATGTCTTTTTCTTGCTATAAGGAAGGGCCTATCAATATACTGTTTTAGAGAGATAATTACTCGAGGATTAAGAGAAAAAGAAAAATCAAGGGAAAAATGTGTATACAACTGTAAATATGAATATATATGTGAATATATGAAGGCAAAATCATATTTCAAATAATAACATTTCATTATACCATTTTCTTGTTCAAATGTCTTTTAGTGCTCGTCAATGCCTTCAAGATAATGTACTAGCATCTTATCATAGCTTATAACTATTTTCACAAAGTGGTTTCTGTGTATTGCTTTAGTTTTATATTTACTGTTGCCACTTTGAGTTATATGCTCCAGCCATTCTCAATTAGTTTAATGTCATCGTCCTAAACTAGATCTACTTGTCTCCTTTCCTGCCTAAAGTGTCAAACATTTACACAAATTCAAATTCTCCGTTTCGGTGTCAAACCAAATGGACCATTGCTTTCCCAGATCCAAATTGCAGAGATCAAATGGCCAGGCTTACTTTAGACAGCTTCTCTTCACTCAGCAAAATGGTCCTACAGGAAGGAAGCAGAGGAAATAATGCTAAAGAAGAAATGAGGAAATCTAGCCCATTTACTAACTAATTGTTTCATACTGTCATCTTGGATTTAATTCTGACTTTGTAAAATGAACTTGGACTAAAGGATTTCTAAGGGCACTTCTAGCTCTAAAATTCTTTTATACTGTTTAATGAAGCAAATATTATTGAGGACTGGTTGTGTGCAATGTGGAGTGGTATGAGAGAGGGGAGAAATTTTCCTGTATCATGGAACTTTCAAGAACGTTTTCACATCCACGTGGAATCTAGTGGATCTGAGGTTGTCCCTAACCAATGCTGGGTCCTCTTCAGAAGCAGAGACAGGGTGCGCAGAATGAGCTCCTATCTGAGTTTTCATTTCTCCTATAAGATCATGATGGATCAAGGAGCAACCAAATCCATAGTAAAATGGAATAAAATGGGGCTGTAGCACTGAGTATAGAGACACCACAGGCAGTGAGATGAGGGTAGACTCTGGGGCTGAGCCATGGGTAAGCAGGATGCCCCTTTCTGGAGATTTATTTCTTATATGCATATCTATAACATAGAATATATTTCTTGCCCCCTCCAAAAACCTCAGCAACTTGTACAACCTGGAGGAGGTTGATGACCTTACTCATATGTAAAGGAAAAAATACTTTATTAAACAGCCTGATTGCTTTCTGGCTTCTAGCTCCTTCCTTCCAAGTTTGCACGTGAGTGTTCAAAATTCCCAGCCAGAGACAGCTAGATAATTTGTGCAACCCAGTGCAAAATGAAAATTTAGAGCCTCTTGTTCAAAAAGCAGGAAGGAGGGACGTTATGTAACAAAATATAAAGTATTTTCTTGGGGGCTGGCCCCGTGGCCGAGTGGTTAAGTTCTCGTGCTCTGCTGCAGCGGCCCAGTGTTTCACCAGTTCGAATCCTGGGCCCAGACATGGCACTGCTGATCAAGCCATGCTGAGGCAGCATCCCACATGCCACGACTAGAAGGACACACAGCTAAAAATATACAACTATGTACTGGGGGACTTTGGGGAGAAAAAGGAAAAAATAAAATCTTTAAAAATGTATATTTTTTCCTGTTTATAAAACACCATAGGATTTATAATGATGCATAAGTAACGACATAAATTTACAAATTGCAAAAATATATTTTGTGGTCATAATTTTATACAATTACTAATAATACTTCATAAGTTTGATATTTTGACAATAATAACATTTTTCTAGCTGACTGTTCTGCAAATTAATTTATTAGGTTATCAAAATTTATACTTTTAGTAGCCTCATTTCAATTAGTATTTTTCAGAGCAATGTCAGTTGCTGTTGATAAATGTGAGATCGCAAAAGAATTCTTAATAATTTTTAATTTTGAGAAGATGCTTCTGTTGATGCAACTAATATGATAGCTCTTAAAATTTTATAAGCTGTGACAACATCAGCCTAAATATGTGGCAAATGAGTATGAAATATAAATTCTAGTAAGTCAAGAGCTGATGTCTGTCGTTGAACACTTTTTCTATAAATGATTTAACTCTTCATATCAGTCAGTTTCATGTAAGTCTGAATTTAATTTTAAATGTAAATTTATATAGCGGCATTTTAATATTTCTCTGACATTTTCTATAACTTGTGGAGCGTGTATAAGAAAGTAAAAGTGGCTTCATGATTTGGATATAATTCACAATACTTGTCTATGCATCCTATCACTGCATCTTTAAATACAAGTAAAATTGATTGTAAATTATCTTCTGTGTTAATACTCGGTTCGTTGAATTAGTTCAAACTTCACATGAAAACAGTATTCTTTTCACTGAAGATATTATTTTTATATTTAACCTATATTTCTAAGCCTATGGACATTTGCTTTCCAATGCTTGAGCAATTTTTAAAACAAGAGTTTCTAAACTTTCTGAGAATTCTAATATTTCTCTGATATGTTTTATTGCAATGTCCATGTATATACTTTTATTTTGCAGTGCTTTATGAACAAGCTTATCTGCTATCTCCAGATTGCCCCAGCTTGCTGTGCAAAGGCTACTGTGGGGACACCATGCTGGCCCCATGGAAGGGGTGGGGCTGCAGGCCCAGCTGCAGTTTGAGCACAGGCTGCAGACCACCTGGGAGCACTGTGCCTCCACTGCACAGAGGTAGGTGGCTGAATCTTCTGGTTGGGAGGCCATGATGTACAGGGTACTATACAGTTCCTTAGAATTCAGTGTGCAGTTTAACCTTCCATTCTGCCTCATCACTGAAGTCATGAAAAACAGACTGATGAGGCTGCCCCCAGGATTCTGTCTGAACCACTGCACACTGTACACGGTGGTAGAAAAATTGCAACTCAGAGTAGAACTGGTTCCCTCCTGGAGGCTCAGGGCTGGAGGATTTTGCTTCACATTCACCCCTCGAACCCCTGCTTGGAAAGAGAAAAACAAACTCAAATGATGTCACTGGAGAGTCATGGATGCAGTTTACAAATCTATAAATATCCCAAGAAACACCCATGAGGATATAGGAATATCTAAGGAGCTCTGTGTCAGCTCTCCTATCCCTACTCCCACTGTCAGCTGTGCAGTCCCCCGTCTGGAACAGCCCCAACTCACAGTAAATCTGGACCCACAGAAGCCCCAGCAGAGCTCCCCATTGTCTCTCCATGACTCCTTGCCCAGTTGCTGGGTGGCTTTGCCCCTGTTCTGGAGGGTGCAAAGTCTTGGGTCCAGGCAAATTTTGTTCTCACAGTCAGCATGTTCCACCAGAATCACTGAGCACACATCATATCTGAGCTCTGCCATTCGCTTAACAGGAAACTCCACCCACAGTGTCCTGGTGAGACTGCACAGCACTCTCTCCAAAAGTGTGTGTTTGAGCAGTGCAGGGAAGTAAGGGCAATATTTCCAATACATGAAGTTATAGTGAGCTATTTTCTTAAAACACTTTATCTAAAAGAAGTTTGTGGGTTACAGTGTAAGGAAGACAGGATCATACTTCTGAAAAGAATCAGTGTCTCAACTGGATTAAGTAGAGCTTTGAAGAATCAAGCAGCCTTTGAGGAGAGCCTGGGAAGAATGACCCCATTTCTCAAGTTGCATAGTTTGACATAGAATTAAGAATCCAATTACCGGAAAATTATGATGAGGGAAAACAATTTGATAGCATGCATGTGTATTGAAGAAGTGAATATATTTTCTTCAAATCAGGAGTGTTCTAGAAACGCTGGATACACAGTCACAACCTACATAGGAAATGACTCTAAAATGAGTTCAGTTGGTGTAAAATAAAATATGTATATAACGTCCACTCATTTAATCTCTACTCCTCTTCTCCTGGCCAGACTCACACAGCTGATTCTGAACAGGGCACAGATTGCCGGTCAAATTAAATATTGCCATTTTCCTTTACTCCTTCTACTCATGATTTTTATTGTTTTATCTTTTCTTCTTCTCTTCTCTTTATTCTTGTTTCTTCCAGTCTCAGAGAAGATATACAACAAGTTAAGATATCTAGGGTATTGGAATAATTTCTAGGTCCGTGGATTTGGGGAACTTTACTAATAAAATGAAAACAGGTAAAGGAGATGTTTTCTGTTGGGCTTCCATGCTCACAATGCCCATTGATATTCCTATTCCCATACCTCTGCTCAGAGAATCATCCTCACAATGAATTTATAGAGATATCGGCTCCAGGTTTCTGAGGTTTATGTAGAATGGCAGAACTGAAAACCTGAGATGAACTTTGCACAAATATTGTTCCCCTGCTCCTTTGCTGTCTGTAATTTGGCTCACATGCTTGCTAGTCTCCTCTCTTAACTGTTCAACCTTCTGGGATCATCAGAAAAGGCCATTTCTTGTCAAGCCTAAAGCGCCCCCTAGTGGACTGAAACCATCAACAAAGCCCACTTCAGACCAACAACTCCGCAGTCACACAATCCTTCGTTTTAATCAATTCACTCTGTTTCCTTTTTGTTTCTTCACTCTGTTTCCTGATGAAGGAAATGCAGATGACCAGAAAACAAAATACCTGATTAGATTAAATGGGGGTTAAAACGGAACCAATTTCTATTTTTAAAATGTCATTTCGTGGAAACTAATAACAACAAAATTTGGTTAATCTCATCTTTCGTTATTTGATTTCTTTTACTTAGTTCAAAACGAATCCACAAACATTTATTGAAGTTTTAGTGTAAATGAGAGAATTCAATATTTCTTAAGAATATATAAAGGAGGATAACATACTAGTTTAAAGTCTACTGGGGAAGACAAAAATATACATAACCATAATAGCGTCAAAAAGTGGGACCTCAAGAGGAGTAAAAACTAAAAGCTGTATGATCCCAGAGGAGGGAGAAATAATAATTCGGGTGGTTGGACAAAATCTTACAAAGAAAGTGGTGATTTTCTCCTTTTCCTCTTTTTTTTGGTGAGAAGTATAAAGGGGACTATGGATAAACCTTTATGATGGCATTTCCTGCTTTTTATTAATTTTAACAAAAGGAACAATAATATGAATAATATGAATAATAATAATATGAATTATTAATTGTAATAAGACATCACGTATAGACTAAAATCCTCTTTGACTACCACTCTCAATTTTGACTCTTTCATCACTCATTAACCTAATTCTCTCTCTCTCTCTCTTTTTTAAGATTGGCCCTGAGCTAACACCTGTTATCAATTTTGCTTTCTTCTTCTTCTCCCGAAAGTTCCCCAGTACATAGTTCTATATTCTAGTTATAGGTCCTTCTAGTTCTGCTATGCCACCTCAGCATGGCTTGATGAGCAATGCTGGGTCTGCACCCAGGATGTGAACCAGCGGAACTCTGGACTGCTGAAGCTGAACAGGTGATCTTCATCTCTCAGCCGTGGGGCCAGCCCCTAAGTCTTTCTTCATCTTCATCAGTTTGGAGTTTATGCTTCCAGATGTTTTAGTATAGATTTGAATCAACAGACAATATATAATATTTTATTTATAGTTTTTATTAATACAAAATATACATATCTTGCACACTTTTCTGTAACTTGCTTTATAAACCCAATAATAAATCTTGTAGGTCCTATTTTATTAACACTCAGTAGTCCCTCTGCTCCACTGTATCCCATATTATGGATATACTACCACTTAGCCTTCCCCTATTAGTGAATAGTTAAGACACTGATTTTTTTAATCTATAAAATATAACACTGCAATAAACCTTTTAGAGCATTCCTCTTTATTCACATGGGCACATTTCTCTAGGAGCAGAGATTGGGAAGAAGTGAAGGGACACGCCATGAGGCTGGGAGCTGAAAAATCACTCCAAGTAGAAGGAGGATCAAGGACAAAAGCTCTGAGGAAGACCAGAGTGAATTCACATTCTGATTACTACATTGGATGGTTTTCTTTCTTATTATTATTCTTGATGGGCATCGGAACTGTAGTCATTGGATAAACTCTTTTTGAAATTACGGTCCTGACATGTAAGCGGTATGTAGTTTGCTCCAACCAGCCACTGAGGTAATTCTAAATGTAGTAAATCAGCAAGAGAAAAAGTACACCAAAGAGAAGGTGTGGTATATACAAGGGAAATGTTAGAGAATAACTCTAGGCATAGAATATATATAGATATTGTATACATATATATATATATACACACACACACACATACACTCAAACATATGTAATCTAAGGATACTTGTTATAAGAACAGAAAGACACTACATTTTTTATATCAGCAGAGACAAGAAAGAAAACTTCATCAATGAAACAAAAGACAGCCTAGAAAAGAAAAGAAAAAAAAGAGTATGCAAAGCAAAACGAAAATATGAGAAATGAGTCTAAATATATCAGTAATAAATACGTATATAGAAAGAGATCATTGGATTGAATCTTGTGACGTACTGATTAAGACACAAACCTAAAAGGAAACAACCCAGAAAGCTGAGCACACGCAATGGGATTCTTCCTGCTGCCCCTTTGTGAAAAGACTGAAGACCCCTCCCTCACACACTAAACCCACCACACCCGCCAAGCAGATACCCCAAAGGAAGGTCAGTTCTGATAAAAGGGCAGTAAAGGAGGAGTCCCAGAGAACACCAAGTCAGTGAACTAGGTTACTTCTGCAAATGTTAGGTCTAATTTAAAAAATAGAAGAAAACGGAAGAAACTAAGATTTACTTACAGAAAAGGATAAAATTAAAATCAAGGACATCCCATAATCTGATATAGTAGAAGATAAAGAAGCCAAGTGTGAATAATAACATTTATGAAGGGCTTATAAATGCGTATTTCAAGGTCCTCTAAAAACACATTAAGGGGAGGTGGGAAACCTCCTCATCAAAATTATATGTAATAATTTTGTGCACCAGAAATTAGGGGAAAATTTAATCAAGGGAGGCCTCAAATGCTTTGTTTAGGAACTCTGCATTTATTTACTTAGAGGGTTATTATTGGCTAAATTGTGTCTCCCTCAAATTCATATGTTGACGTCCAGTACCTCAGAATGTGACTGTCTGTATTTGGAGACAGGACCTTCAAAAAAATAAGGTAAAATGAGGTCATATGAATAGGTCTTAACCCAATATGACTGATATCCTTATGAGAAGAGGAACTCTAGACACAGGCACTCGTGACATAGAAGAAAAGCCACGTGGGGACACAGTGGGAAGGCAGCTGTCTACAAGCCAAGGAGAGAGACCTCAAAGAAACTAGCCCTGTCAACACCTTAATCTTGGACTTAGAGTCCAGATTCAGAGACAAAAAATTTCTGCTGTTTAAGCCACTCAGTCCATGGCATTTTGTTATGGTAGCCCTAGAAAACTAATACAAGAGGAAATTTTAATATCCTACTATATGAAAAATGTCACAAAAAGCAATTGGAAGTCATACTAGACATGCAACATATTTTAAACATTTTAATAATCTAGCTTTTGTACTCATGTTTTAGTGCGTTGTTTATTAAAGAAAAATTTCCTTGTCTGGATATCACCATTGGAATTATATATGGAGGTCTAATTATCATAACGGCTTTGTTAATATGCTAAAAAGATTGGAGATGTGTATTGAAGGCGTTATGTATTCGATCCTAAATAATAAAACAGTGAAATTTTCTTCATAAATTACCAAATAAGGTCTCCAGCATCTTACTATTCTTTTATTACAGAGTGTCTAAATCTTAAACTAAAAGTCTCTGGAATAACTAATTAGAAAGGGTTGTAGTTACATGGCTTATAGAACTCCAGAACTTGCCCCAACAATTATCTAAAAAATTTTATAGTAATTGTATGGCACTTACAAAGTAACAACAAATACATCAAAGTGTTAGGATGTGTAAATTATATTAAAACTTTTTCCACACAAACAATAGGGTTTCGTGTATGTATGCCTTTTAAATTAAGCTTCAGTTCTAAGGAGAGTGAATTGTCCTATTCAAGAAAGCAAATTCCAGGGGTGGTCAGCTTGCATTCTAAGAGAAGGCCACGACAGAGGAAACTACAATTCAGCTATCCACATCTTGATTGATACCTGAAACTTTGATAAATAGCATAAGGAATATCAGATGTTGGGGTTATTTTACTGGCAAAAATTAGTGGCATGTTAATGTCAACAAACATAATGATTGCTAGATATGGGTCTTTAAATAAAGGTATTTAAGACATGTACTTTGGCTCAAATATACTAGAGACACACCCTACTCTTCCATGAACAGGATACAAATCTAGGGTAGCCTGTACTCCTCACATTTATGCATGATACCAAAGATTCATCCCTAAATATCTGGCCTCTAGGCAGTGGTGGATACAGCTGAATGGATTAA